AAACTACCTCATAGCTAGTGAATTTCAAACATTTTGCTTAACGCATTAAAGAACAAACTTGAATATTGTGGTAAGTCATCATAGCAGCTTTCATTTATCAGAATTTGTCAGTCTGAATCCTTCGAGAAATCAAGCATGTGAAACAGGACAAAGTTCCCTCGCTTCTAATGCGAACAAACTGAAATGAATTTGACTAGTGTGGCTATGATCAGTGTCTTTTGTTGTACATTATGGCAAATCATTTGCAGTGAGCATTGCGATCACATCATGCCATTGGAAATGAGAATAAGGTGCTTCCGTCATCCTGCGCCACTTTAACCAGATATGACAAAACGCAGATCTTGTCCTTCTGCAAACATAAAGTGTGAGCGACTGGAAGGCAGTAAATGGCGTAGACACAGTTGCACCACTTAAGCAGAGCTGCAGTGCCTTAGATCATATCATAGGCAAGGATCTCGATCAGGGTATAGTAGGCATAGCTTTCAGCTATACGAAAAAAACGTCTTTCTGGACAAAAAAAAGATGGAGAAGAGGAGAAAAAGCAGATGGAAGAGAATGCATCAGTTCAAAATCTTGTGCTTTTCCGCGCCACATCTCCATTTGCTTTGCTTAACTGGCGTGGTTCCACCCAATGACAAGAGAAGTAATGTCACTAGGGCAACATTTGTTCCACGTCTATCCTTTCGTGTCAGATAATCAGTTGATTACAGCCATCAATTGGAACAACTGCATTAATTCAGGAGATTCCTCTCACTCAAATATTTTTCTAGCTAATTTTAAAGTGGTTGGGATTCATCGAAATGCAGCCGCTTACAAGGCAACATATCAAACCTTTCGAGGGTGCCGATCGCACCAACGTGGAGGCTCATTGAGCGATAACTGGGCCAAATGAAGTTACAAATGGCCAACTTTTACCCATTTCCTTATTAGGAAGCGCGATTTTTCCACTTCATGGTTAGTGCCTTGTAGTCGTTGAAAATTGGTGCTTAAGCGACTAATAAAGCTCGTGCCTTGCGTTCTCCTCGTGAGAAAGTGACAAACTAGCCCCGAAAGAACCAACCACCAAGACCATCACTTGCCGAAGAGGTGAATACAAAACAGTAGGTTGAAAATTCAAATCTCAGGTAAAGTAAAATTTGCTTAAAGGTAATACGTATTTTACAATGAACGGTTGTAAAAGGGAACGAAAGGAGTGTTTACGAATTCAGTGCGGTCTTAAACCACCTATTTTTTCTCCCCGATATAATAAATCATTTTCCGGCTTGAACTTTCCAAAATATTATTAAATGTCCAAGGTTAAATCGCCGTTCGAATAGATACCGAAGCGATCGTGGTGTTCCTCGTTGCACCCATCACCAGAACACCAAATGAGATGATGCAGAATTTTTAAAGGTCGAGAAGTAGTGTGGTTCGCATAGCGAAAATCATTCGCCTAAAGACCAACTTCCTTTGTCTTCTGTTGACTGCAGTTCAAATCGCTTAGCTGCGTAGTTAAACAGCATGATAGGAGAGAAATTACTGTTCAGCTTTGTGGAGCGTCTTGTCAGAAGTGCCTTGAGCGCTGAACAAGACACCAGTTGATGGATGCAACAGATTTGGTTGTCTGTGGGCGGCGTCTTAAAGTCTGGCGCACTGCACGATTCAGCCTGAGCTGCTAGGTGGGCTCACTGGGTTTTTAAGGGTACACGTCTCTTTAATCGTGTTAAACCGGGGAGAAAGAATGCGGAGCTTAAGTTAACAAAAAGTCTAGATAAACCATCTGTTGCGAGAGAAAAGCGGTGTTTTAGAAAAAAGCGCAGATGTTCGGTTCATTCAAACATCCTTTGAGAAAAACGCGTTTTTGACAACAATCTTTTGGATGGATTTCTCTTCTTGAACAAAAAATTTAAAGCGGCCTCCAAATACCATTTACTGTTCAAAACGATCACATTAATATTTATCGAAAAAATCCTTCTCTGTAGAGGAGGATTAGGGTTAGGGTGGTTGTCTGCCGCAGTTTTTCATTTTCGAGGCAACTTTCAAAGTACTCTGCCACTTCTCTTCCCGTATTGCGCATAAAGAAGTTATTCAGACAAAACCTCTTGATTTGTAGAGAAATTCAGTTCACAGAAGTGTAATTTCCTTTCATTTTGTAAGGCAAGAGCTAATAAGTTTGCAGGTAGAACTGAGATGCACGCTTTAGGAACACAAATACCTATCTACTCTATATCTTTCAACAGAGTCTGCAATTTTTCATGGAATACTGTGTCGTTCTCGCTCCTT